CCCTGGAACAGGCTGCCCAGGGAGGTTGTGGATTCTCCTTCTCTGGAGATATTCAAGACCCGCCTGGACAAGGTCCTGTGGAGCCTGCTCTAGATGACCCTGCTTCGACAGGAGGGTTGGACTAGCTGACCCACAGAGGTCCCTTCCCACCCCTAACATTCTGTGATTCTGTGATCATCTCACTCGACCTGCTGGCCATGCTGCTTTTGATGTAGCCCAAGATATGGTTGGCCTTTCGGGCTGCGAGTGCACATTGCCAGTTCCCTCAGGACCCATGGATGCACCTCATCAGGTCCCATGGACTTGTGCACCTTCAGTTTTCTTAGATGGTCTCAAATCTGATCTTCTGCAGTGGGTGGTTCTTCATTCTCCCAGTCCCTGCTATTGCTGTCTGTGACTTGGGCGGTGTGGGTGGAGCACTTGCTCATGAAGACTGAGGCAAAAAAGTCATTGAGTACCTCAGCCTTCTCTGTATCCTGGGTAAGCAGGTCTCCCATTTCCTTCCAGAGAGGGCCCACATTTTTCCTAGCCTTCCTTTTATCACTAATGTACCTGTAGAAGCTTTTCTTGTTGCCTTTGATATCCCTGGCCTGTCCCTGAATTCTTGGTTACTGTTTGATTGTCTGTGCCAAATTAAATTAAATTCTTAATGTTTTAATTGTTCAGATTTCTTGTTCAATGTTGAGAGTTCTTTGGTGGGTGTTCTCAGTTTTTCCTTTCTGAAATATACGACACCTTCAGTTCCAACGACATTTAAGTAAGATAATTATTGCGTCTTTGCCTTTGCTGAATTTGTCACAGGTGTGTGATACAAAGAGATTTTGTTGATGATCACAATAATTTTCCATTATCCTTCTCTGGCATAGCATAATTCACTACAAAATATGGAATACATGTTCTGATCTGTATTGTGGACGCTTTTTCCTACAAGATTGGGTGAACTGTTGTTGAAAAGGGTATTTCTAAATACATGCAAGGAAATGTAGTTTATTGTAATAACCAGTTTTCATAAGGAAATTACATTAAATTTTTGCCTCAGTTTAATTGCTGCTTAGGGTGTACTATTAAAAATAAGTTTCAGCACTTACAGTAGAAAATTAAACTATGATTCCAGAAATATACTGAAATAATGTTTTTATCCTAGGTGGCCTCATGGGACCTGTCAGAATGATATCATCTGGGCATGAACTGACAACTGATTATGATGAAAAGACACTTCATGAACTGGGTTTCAAGGATATGCAGGTATTACCAGCATATGGATAGCAGTCACTGAAAGAGATTGCTTGATATATTGCTTTTGTCTTGTGCAACTGATACCTGTAGTGGTGATTGAAGGTTTACTTTTCTTGGGGACCATCTTGCAGTTTTCTGAAACTAGTTATTTCATGCTATCCAATAGGTGCTTTTTTTAAGCTCGGACTACTGCTGTTCATCCTTGCTGCTCTCAGTCTTCAAAATAATTAATAATTGTAAAAGCCTATTCCTAGTTATATTCAGGTTTTTTCATTCATCAAGGAAAGCAAGAGACCAGTGAAAACAGAATTAAATATCCACATTTTGTCTGAATTGTTGAACACACATTAATTCCACAGTAGCATTGACTAGCTCTCTCCTGCTTTCACAGGTTAAATCTGAAGCATTTTTTAATGCTCATCTGTAATTTTTTATCTCAGTTTAGAGTTCCTGTTAGAGTGGTCTACTCACAAGATTGCTGAAGTCAACAGTATGGAAAAGCCTGATTTGATTTGTATAAGTGTGAATGACTATTTCAGGGAGGTGGAACTGTAACAAAACTTGCTAGCAGATCATCACATATGTTCTTTCCATCTAAAGGAAAACTAAACTCATACTGTACACCTGCAGGGATCTGCTGACATCCTTTTAGAAAGATTGTTGCTGGCTGGTATGCTTACATGTGCTATTGCTGGCTGTTAGCAATTGTAGCAGTTAGTCCATCTTGACTCTTGCTGGATAATATGTTGGACTATGTCTTTGATTGTTTATTACTTCTTTTTGCTAAATGAATTGGGTTAATTCAAAAGCAAACCCAGTTTTTAAAATATTTTTTTCTTATTAACATAGATCATTTTACAGAATTGAACTATGGTGCAATCAGATGAATTTTTATGTTTGCAGAACTTGGAGGAGCAGTAGCATTCGGTTTGAATGGCT